TGCCCCACTGTAGATGTAAATTTTTAGAGTTGACTTTTTTTTAGTAGCCCATTATTTTTAGTATAGTAGAAGACATGATTATGAGAAATACTGTGATTTAAGTATAACTGTTATGATAAACTCCCAGAAACCAAGTTTTGTTTCAAAAAATGAATTTTAAAACCTAATAGATACATACTTAAAATGAATTATTGTTTTCTTTAAAAAAAAAACTAACTGAAAATAAATAAGTTTTTAATGCAAGCATCTATCTTAAAACCTATTCCCAGGGGCTAACTAAATAAAGATGAAATCAAACAAGATGTTTCTTTATGGCATAGAACCATAGGGAAAATACCTAACATTTAAAGTTAAAGCATTGTAAATGACATAACACACAGATATAATTTAAAACACCACACAGTATTCAGCTTCTCAGATAGCAATAGCCCTTCTATTACCTCCTTAAAAAAAAAAACAAGCAAAAACAAAACATTCTTTCCAATTAAAGTAGTCCTTCTAACTTCTTTGTTCAAGTAAGATTGTCTTTATTAAATATTATTGGTTAAGAACAATTCCTAACATTGATAGAAAAAAAATGCATATTTTTCCCTGCCAAATTAACAAATGGTACCCAAAGAACTGGCAAAAACTATTGTTTCTAGAAAGCAGCAGATTTGTGTTGAATATTGGAATACTTGTGGGAAATATCTTTTAATTGTTTTATATTTGTATTTACATTTAATCTTTTAAAATAGAACAGATAGCATATTTTTAACTTATATCTTGCCTTTCATTAGGGAGAGCAAGACAGTACACATATGCCATCATTTTTATCTCCACAAACAAAAACCCTGTGTGGTAGGTTGGGCTGAGAGTTGGTTACTGGCTCAAAGTCATCCACTAAACTCCATGTTTGACTGAGGACATGAAGTTGGATCTGTCTCTTAACCCTCTGTTGATGAAGATGGAGGAAGAGTTTTCCTCCTGGACTAAAAAAGTTGGTCACCCTGCTTTAACTAACCTCTCTCTGGTTTTTACTGATACTGGAGCCTAGGAAAATCACTTTCGAAGGACAGCAGGGAGGGCTGAGGTCTGTGCCAAAAGTCTACTTAAACTTTATAATTATAAATATCCTGGCACACTGACCCCTATACTGAAAGTATTTAGAGCAAAAATTGTCCCAATGTTGACCTATGGCGTGGAAGTGTGGGTCCTTGCAAAATCTGTCGCACTTGAACATGTCCAGACACGTTTTTTAAGAAATATATTGAGAGTTGATAAGAACACATCAGCCCTCATGATCAGAGCGGAAATAGGTACCCATTCTATACAGAGCCAATCAGTAATTAAGGTCTTTTCTTATTGGCACAGAGTCCATTTAATGGATTATGATAGGCTTCCCAAATTATGCCTGTTGGAACAAATAAGTATGGACTCGCCTGGCTAAAACATCTTACTAAAGTTATCTCACAATATGGGCTTTCTGCTCAACAGGTACTCATAAATAACTCACAGGCAAAGGATATTTTTAAACAGAGAGCCCTGGATATCAGTGCCCAAACGGACATGGAGGAACTGGCTAAAAATGGGTCATTAAAATGGTTAGCTAAGAATAAAATTACCTTTCATTCTGAAAAATATCTGTCGATGAGTCTAACTCAAAACCTAAGAAGGGCCTATACTAGAGCTAGGTTTGAATTACTGGACTCCATGGTCAAATATGGTCGTTTCCATCACGTGCCTTATGATGAGAGGATATCAGTGCCCAAACGGACATGGAGGAACTGGCTAAAAATGGGTCATTAAAATGGTTAGCTAAGAATAAAATTACCTTTCATTCTGAAAAATATCTGTCGATGAGTCTAACTCAAAACCTAAGAAGGGCCTATACTAGAGCTAGGTTTGAATTACTGGACTCCATGGTCAAATATGGTCGTTTCCATCACGTGCCTTATGATGAGAGGCTATGTGTATGTGGGGACCCAGCCGTAGAAGATATTGCTCATGTTTTGTTCGACTGTAAACTTTATGACTCACTCAG